TATTAAATACCTGATTAATATAATTATCCTATATAATAAAAGGTAATATGCAAATTGGCCATAATGGCAGAAGACCAGGAACAACCGGTCGCTATGACATGCACTGACCACCAGGGGCAGATGCTCAATGCAGGAGCTGCCCCCTGGTGGTCAGTGCGCTCCCACAGGGGGAGCTCCACTCAGCCACAAGCTGGGCTGACAGTTGCAAGCCCAGCAGTGGTGGTGGGAGCCTCTCTCTCTCACCTCCACTAACACTGAGACAAGCAGGAGGGCAGGGGAGCACTAAGGAGCGCTAAGGATGTCCAACTGTCAGGCATCCCCTGAGGGATCCTGGGCTGCCAGAGGAAGGTCTGGCTGCCAGCTTAGGCCCACGCCCTGGGGGATCAGGCCTAGGCTGGCAGGTGGACGCCCCTGAGGGGTCCTGGACTGCAAGAGTCGGGGTGCAGGCCGGGCTGAGGGACTGCCTGCCCTCCCAAGTGCATGAATTTGCATGCCCTGGGCCTCTACTTTTACTGGAAAAGAACTGACCAAAACAAGGCTTATTCTCTAACTTCTTTTGTCCTTGGGTGTGGACAGCGAGCACACTGATTGGATTTCTCCCATCCGTCTTCCTGAGGGCTCTGGCATAAGCTATTTGTCTCTGTTTAGGGAGGCAAAATGCAAATCATTGTATTTATCATTGTTTAGGGAAGACAGAGTTTTCTAGATGGCTGCAAACTGCTGTTTAAATATCTCCGTTTCCCTGTTCTGTCCTGGCTTACTGACCTGTATCATTTAACAAATTTCCTTTTAACATTAATTTTTTATAAACTTATTATAATTTCCATGGAAATTCTTAAAACTTTCAAAAACATTTTTACATTTTCCAGAAATAACCACCTTCTTTTTCCTTCAAAATGCATAACCATGCCTCAGTCCTCCCATTAAGTGTTTCTACTCTGATATTCTTTCTGTCATACCATCAGCAACTTGTAAACCTTAGTTTTTCAATGATAACCAAACAGTAAACAACAGCATTTCTTAGATTGACATTTATGAACACTTTAAATGCACTTATACTGTCAAGAAAGTATACCTTCAACAAAGTACAAGAGACCTTCAGTGATAAAAACTTAGAGCAGGCGAATTAAAACGTGTAATCTTCTGTTAGTTTTCTGTCTTTGCCTTTCTTATCTTTATGTACATAGGCATTCTGAGCCTCTTAACATCTTTTCTGCACTCCCATCCTTCCAGCTCTCCCTTTGCAGTTTTCTTGAGAGGCCTGGCCATATTGGTGACAAAATGTAATTTTAATATTCCTTGGCCCAACGGGTCCTCAGGGTCCAGCCCAGGGCACTTTCTCATTTGATCTTTTAGTTTTGGTACAATTCGGAAGGCTCTTCCTCCTTGCCCTGCTGCGTATTGAAGGCTTTGTTCAGGTTCTGAGATGGGAAACTGCTCCCCTAACCCCTTTGATAATTATTCCCTGAAAGCTCTCGTGTCCCCCATGGGCCTGTTGGTAAGGTCCCCGGGGCTCCGGGTTTGGAAATTTCACATCTGCTGGAAGCACACCAGGCAGCCAGGTGCTCCCTTCCCCAGACAGCCACAGCCGACTTCAAATCACCCCCTTCTTTTAGTCTAGCTGTCAGCTGAGCCACGTGGGTCTTCCAGCAGTTTAACTTTTATTTTTACTGCTCCAACTCCTTCCGCAGCCTAGAAAAGCTGGTTTCTGATGGCGCAGTGACCTCATGGTGGTTGGAGTCTTATCAAGATAGCTCTCCTCCGAGGGGGAGGCTGGGACGGTAAACTGCCATAGGGCTGTACCCTCAGATCATCCCTGGTCACATAGGGAGGGGAAGGCATTTCAAGGGTCTCATTCCCGTCTGCCCTTGTTCTCTTTTAGGTTTTTACTGAAAAGCTTTATCTAAATTGTTCATTTTAGTTACATCTATTTATTATATCTTAACAACTTTAAGATTTTTAAAGCCAACTATTACCTAAAGCATTTTTTTGACTGATTTTGTAACAGGGATAACTCAATGTGAAAGTATCATTTTATTTGATATGCTGTTAACTATGATTGCCCTTTCTGTCCAGAGAAAGGACACAGTAGTCTGGCTGGGAGTCCCCTGCCTCTGGGACCACCTTGGTGTTTGGTCCATCCTCTTGCTGCCATGCCCCCGGGTCAGCCTTGGCTGGCCTGCTCGGGTTTGTGACGTCACAAGCCGGTTTGGGCCACCCACTTCCTGTCTCAGACCAGCCGCTTCCATCTTGGTCCCATCCCGGTTAATACCAACGCTGACGCTGGATGTTTAATGGACAGGACGCTGGGCAGGGTTTGCATCTGCCCTGCCAGTTCTGCAAGCCTCCCGTCCGCCACTGGGAAACCTTGGTTTTTCCTTCCCCTCCCCGCTCGGCCTCAGGTGGGGAAGATAATGGTTCGTTAGGCTTGGAATTAGCTGGCCTTTGTTTTAAATTTCCCTGGGTTGCAATCTTTACAAATTTTACACTTTTAAATTAATCTTAGGATCTTAAAAATTTAAACCAGCACAGCAAAATGATAAGTCAGAGAAGAGCAAATTAAATCCCTAAAAGTTAGCCAAAATTGCATCACAAACATACAGACAAAAATCTCACTAGCGAAGAGTTTCTGGTGGGCCAACACCCTGCAGGGAGAGCAGGATGAATCCCCAAGAATAAGGAATCTTTTTTTTTTTTTTTTTTTTTTTTTTTTTTTTAATATATTATTGATTTTCCACAGAGAGGAAAGGAGGATAGAGAGCTAGAAACATCGATGGGAGAGAATCATCGATCAGCTGCCTCTTGCACACCCCCTACCGGGGATGTGCCTGCAACTCAGGTACATGCCCTTGGCCGGAATCGAACCCGGGACCTTTCAGTCTGCAGGCTAACGCTCTATCCACTGAGCCAAACCGGTTTCGGCAAGAATAAAGATTCTTGGCAGCTGCTGGGACATACTCTATCACACTCTATTCAAGCCCACCACACACAACTTGGCTCCCCCAAGGTGGCATTATCCCCATCTTTAAACAAACTAAACAAAAAACAGACATAAAACATCAACACACACTCTCATAGGGGTGCACAACAACACTAAAAGTTTCCACCAAGAGCAATGCCTCTGTTCCTGGTTCGGGAACTTGCCTTCTCCCAATGGACTCTTCAGGGGAATGTATTTCCTACGCCTAGAATTTCTGTCCCCTGTGACTATGTACGCAACCCTTCATGTTGGAGGTTTCTCGTGCTCCCGAGATCTGCTTCATCCTTCTCTGTCTGCTTCCCTCCCAAGAGAATGGAACCACAGATCAGAACTCCGCACTTGCTTTATGTCCAAGGCACAACCCAGTCACATATGCCTGACCTCCAAGGACACCCAATCGCCAAAGTAGTACTCAGTCCATTCCCATGTTGGCACATGATTGCCGCGGGTCTTGCTTGGGCCCTTCCTGCATGGCTGGCTGACTCTTGATCCCAGGCTCATAGTCGGCCCAGGAGTAATGGCTGTCCCTCCTCACCAAGGCTGCTGCAGCTTAGAGTGGAGCGCACCTCTCAGGAGAGGGGTCCAATTTCCCTGTGGTGACGGACTGTGTCCTAGACGAGCCTCCAAATTGTTAGAAATAAGGTGAGCCCCTGCAAATCAGGAATCCTGGTAGAACACAAAACATACTCAGGAGCCAGGCAGCAAGGCAAACGTCTTCTGCATAGAAGGGTGTGCACATGGTCTGGAAGCGCACACACCAAGCAGGCGTTCTGCTCAGGATTTATAACCCCTGTTGCATATGTCCTGTCTCTTGTTCTTGATTGGAGCTCAGGTGCACAGTCTTTCATTATTGGCTAATTCAAAGAAAGGGTTTGGCTTTTGCTCTTTCAAGATGGCAGTCTTTAGGGGAATTGCAAGCCATGTGGCCAACATGGCAGCTGCCAAGTCATGCAGTCCAAAATGGCGGCTGTCTAAACTGTTCTTTGACAGAAAAGATGATTTGTTTGTTCTCACATCGGCGCTGGGCATGCTGGCGGCAGCCAGGCTTGGGGTCAGGCAGACGCCCAGCAGGAGGGCACTAGCAGGACCGGGTGAGGCTGGTTCCGGGAGGGTGTTGCTGTGGCCATGCTCAGGTTGGACAATGTAGCATCGGCCCCAGAGGATCACAGCCCTTTCACCACTGGGACACTCATGGTCTCATTTCGCTGGGAAGATGGGGTCTCCAGGTTGTTAGGACATGTGGGAGGGATGTGGTGTGGGGTCCTGGTCCAGGGTCCAAGGCGCTATGCTTTGTGCCCGTGGAGCCCTGGAGCAGGCCCTCAGCCACCATAGACTCTGCTCTTTGAACCCCCACCCCACCCTCCCTGCCTGCTCTGGCAGGTGCTCTGGGGGCTCTGGGTGCTCTGGGTGCTCTGGGGGCTCTGGGTGCTCTGAGGGCTCTGGGTGCTCTGGGGGCTCTGGGTGCTCTGGGTGCTCTGGGGGCTCTGGGTGCTCTGAGGGCTCTGGGTGCTCTGAGGGCTCTGGGTGCTCTGGGGGCTCTGGGTGCTCTGGGGGCTCTGAGGGCTCTGGGTGCTCTGGGGGCTCTGAGGGCTCTGGGTGCTCTGAGGGCTCTGGGTGCTCTCTTTGAGGCCGGGCATCCACACTGCCTGCATATGGCTCCCAATGCCTTTAGTCAGGAGCTCGCAGGACAGCCAACACACGGAAGTCCGTGGACGGGACCCCCACTTGGCAGGGCCCCCAGAACAGGAAGGGTCCTGGGCTGGCTGTGCGAGAAGTCGGTGTTTCAGGAAGACAGGAGGTTTCTGCCTGGGCCTGGGGAAGGACACGTGAACAAGGCGGCGGTGTTTGGGCGGCCACCGGGTCCTGCGCAGTTCTTCCGTGTCCGGCCAGCGGGGCCTGTCCCCTGACTGAGGCCGGCCGGGCAGATGAGGGCCAGGGCGAGCGTGGGATGGGCCCGGAGGCTCCCGGGCTTCTGCTGTGCCGTGGCTCACGGGCTCCTTCGCTGCCTCTGCTGACCCAGGTTCCTGCTGGTCTTCTCCTGCCTCGTGCTCTCCGTGTTCTCAACCATCAAAGAGTACGAGAAGAGTTCGGAAGGCGCGCTCTACATCCTGGTGAGCCTGCGGGAGGGGCTGGCCCGGACCGGCACCCCCCTGCCTCTCCCAGCGCCCAGCCCAGCCTCACCTGGCCTGGTCCCCACTCTGTGTCCTCACAGTGCCCCCCACTGCCCCCCTCCCGCTCTCCCAGATCCTGAGGGCCCACCGGAGAAGTGGGCTGTGCCCGGTAGACATGGCTGTGGGTAGGGTGGGGTTTGATGCTCATAGCAGTCCCGTGAGGGCCAGCGGCGAAGCTATGGCAACCACTGTAATTGAGGTGCTGCTGTTAGTGACAGAGGGGCCTCCCCAGTCCAGAATGCACCTCTGAGGGCACTCCCACCCCAGCCCTCTCCAGGGGCTGCCCCCAATGACGCCCGCTCAGCCAGGCCACCCCGCCGCTGCCGCAGCCCCGCGGAGGCTCAGCTGCGCCTCCCCCGCAGGAAATCGTGACCATCGTGGTGTTCGGCGTGGAGTATTTCGTGCGGATCTGGGCTGCGGGCTGCTGCTGCCGGTACCGCGGCTGGAGGGGGCGGCTCAAGTTCGCCCGGAAACCCTTCTGTGTGATCGGTGAGGCCTGGCGGGTGCAGGATGGACACAGGCTCTGGAGAGCGTGGGGGAGCCAGGAGAACTCCCCGCAGAGGTCGTGGTTACTGCGGCCGGGAAGGCGGGCGCAGGCAGCTGTGCCCAGGGCAGGGCTGGCGGATGATAGCCAGTCTCCACACTGGGTGGGTGCTCTGCATGCACGCCTGTCCATCTGTCCATCTTCCTGGAACCCAGGCGGAGGGTCCCGTCCCCCACGCACAGCTGCCTCGAGCTCCCCCTCTCCGCAGACATCATGGTGCTCATTGCCTCCATCGCGGTGCTGGCCGCCGGATCCCAAGGCAACGTCTTCGCCACGTCCGCGCTCCGCAGCCTGCGCTTCCTGCAGATCCTCAGGATGATCCGCATGGACCGGCGAGGCGGCACCTGGAAGCTCCTGGGCTCTGTGGTCTATGCCCACAGCAAGGTGAGCAGCCTCAGCGAGGGCGCAGGGCTGGCTGGACAGAGCCTGGGAATTCTGGCCGGCTTTCCCGCACAGCCCCAGCCTGTCGGCCCTGCCGGAAGCCACTGGCCCTGAGGTTGGGTGGGAGTGCTGGGATCGATACCTGTCACTGCCCGTTCAGGCTGCAGCTGGTGGGACAAGAGCGGGGCTCCAGGTAGGGCCTGCAGCACTCCGGAGCTGGAGCTGGCACCCTTCTTGGGGACCCCGCGGTGCTGGCCGCCGGCTCCCAGGTCCCATGTCCCACTACCCACTCTCCCTCCTGTCTGAGCCCTGAGGACCAAGGGTGTTGGTCCCTCAAGGTGCTGAGGTGCTGGACCCCTTAAGGGTGGCAGGCAGTCAGGTGTCTCCCCAGGCTCAGGGAAGTTGAGGTAGGATGTCAGATTCCAACATTCTTGCCTGATGATCTGTCAGCTGCTTGGGACACAGCCAAACCTGCCTACATGTGTGTGCTGGGCTGTCCTTAGCCACTGTCCTCCCAGGTGTGCAGGGCACAGGTGTGGGGACACCCAGGAAAACAGCCACCCCTGTTGTCTGCTCCGAGCCTGGGGCCATGTGGCTGGGAGCTGCTGGCCAGGCCGCTGGGAGCTGTGCACCCACTGTCGGAGCCCTGAGACCCAGCCTCCTGGGGACCAGCCTGGTGCTCTTGGGGGCGGGTGGGCTGACACTGGCCAGGTGCTGTGACGTGGGTGCCTCTTTCAGGAGCTGGTCACCGCCTGGTACATCGGCTTCCTGTGCCTCATCCTGGCCTCGTTTCTGGTATACTTGGCGGAGAAGGGTGAGAACGACCACTTCGACACCTACGCAGACGCGCTCTGGTGGGGCCTGGTGAGTCCCCGCCTGGGCTCGTCCTTTAATGAGGATGTGCTCCCTGGGCATGGCCTTCTTGGGGAACCTCGTCTGCACCCTCCTGCGTGCCCTCCGTCTCCCCATATGGCCACTGCCAGGCTTGGCGTGTGACCTGACTCGCTGTCCTGCAGATCACCCTGACAACCATTGGCTACGGGGACAAGTACCCCCAGACCTGGAACGGGAGGCTCCTGGCGGCAACATTCACCCTCATTGGCGTCTCCTTCTTTGCTCTTCCTGCCGTGAGTCCTCTCCCCTCCTGCCTTTGGTGGGGTGGGTGCTGGGCTCCCAAGGCGGCTGTAGGGGAGCCTGGGGCAAGAGCGGGGCTCTATGTAGGGCCTCCAGCGCTCTGTGGCAGCTCAGGTGCAAGGAGACACCCTTCCTGGGAACCCAAGTGGGGCTGCTCGGGCCTGGCCTGGTAGCTTCCAGAACACAGCGTCCCCAAGCTGTGGCTTCTGACCCCATATCTGTTGGTCACTGTCAGCGCCTCCTGGTCTGGTGGAACTGGCCAGTAGGATCCTCGTGACCAGGATCAGTGCTGTGTGATGACATGGCTCCTCTGTCGGGTCTCCAGGGGACCAAAGCCCCCTCTCAGAAGGGGCAAGCTCTGTTCTGCCCACCTGCCTCGGGGCCACACGGCCAGCAGGGCAGTGGCAGGCAGCCTCGGAGAGCCTGGCCTGCCCTCGCTGCCGTGTGGGCAGATTGGGGAAGGATGATTAACCTTTGGGCCCAGATGTGCTCAGTGTGGGCACTGCCATGCTCCTGCAGGCCGACATTCCTTTACCTCAAGTCCGAGTGTCCCCAGCCTGGCATCGGGGAATTAGGGCCTGAGACGGTGGGAGGTGGAGTCCAAGAGGCAGGTGTGGGGTGGGGTGGGGTGGAGCAGTGCGGTCCAGGGCACTTTCTGACACCAGTGACTCGCAGGGCATTTTGGGGTCTGGTTTTGCCCTGAAAGTTCAGGAGCAACATCGGCAGAAGCACTTTGAGAAGAGGCGGAACCCTGCTGCAGGCCTGATCCAGGTGAGTGCAGTGGCCCCCACTTCAGACCAGTGGAACCCCCCTATCTGGACATTGTGTCCAGGAGCAAAGCCCTGCTTGGAGCGGTCCCTGTCAGTGGACAGGCCTTTGTCCCTTTAGGAGCTGGTTAGCCTGTGTGCTGAGAACCAAAGGCTGTCTGAGTGCAGCACAGTGGTGCTGTGCTGGGGGGTGGCTGTCCTGTTCGGCCCCAGGCCCAGGCCAGCTGTCACAGGTGCCATCGAGCTGCTCCTCACAGCGCCCTGGTAGGCAGGCCACTGTCTCACCGGGCCTGCGCCCGCGGGGTTCAGAGACTGCACTCACGCAGCCAGTGGTGCTGAGCCACTTCTGTGCTACCCTCACACAGCCAGCCCGCCGCTAGACACAGCGCCACTCCATGCCCAGCAGCTTCCTGCCTTTGCTTTGTTCACCTGGAAACTCACAGAGGCACGTGTGCTCACTGCAGCACTGGGGCCCGGTGCAGAGGGGTGACCGGCAATGGGCAGACTGAAAAACCAGGTTTGGGAAGGAGACATGGGGAGATTAGGACTCTGGAAAGACCCCGTATATGCGGGAACTAGGAGACCACACACATGTCCAGGGCTGGCTGCAGGTCAGAGGTGACTGGAGAAGACCCCAAGCCTTCCCCTCAAAGACCTTCGGCTTGTGAACAGGAAGTACAGGCTAATAGAGTTGTAAGTGGCCTCCCCAAATGTTGAATGAGTGTCCAACACCGAGCCAATTGGCAGAGCCTGAGTCTTTGTTTCCTCTTTGGTTCCTTGGGTTTAAGGAAACCTCTGTTAAAGCAGTAGCTGACCACTGAGCGAATGGAGCAGAGACTTGAGTCACTACACGATGCAAAATACTGCATGTCTGAAATTACGTAGAAAGTCCGTAAACAAACAGCCACAATCAGCACGCAGTAACGACAGACCCTGAGGGGGGGCGGAATCGTGGCTTCCAAAAGTTTTTTGTTACAGCATCCAGAACTCCAGCTTCTTTTTCTTTTCTTTTTAAAAATTTAATATACTTTTATTGATTTCAGAGAGGAAGGGAGAGGAAGAGAGAGATAGAAACATCAGCGATGAGAGAATCATTGATCACTGCCTCCTGCATACCCCCTACAGAGCTGCAACCTGGGCATGTGCCCTCACCAGGAATCGAGCCATGACCTCCTGGTCATAGGTTCATGCTCAACCACTAACCCATGCTGGCCAGGCCAGAACATCCTGTTTTCAGCAAAAAGTTATGAGGCATAAGAGGAGAGGGAAAGGGGCAAAAAAATAAAAATTAAAACAAAATTGAAGAAATAAGTTGAAAACTTTCCAACTTTGATGAAAGCTGTGAATCAACACATCTAAGAAGTTCAGTGAACTCCAAGGAGTAAAACAAAGACCCACAAGACACTTTGTGGTCAAACTGCTAAGACCCGAAGACAAAGACAGCATGAGAAGTGGCTCGTTAGGGGTGAGAATCTCATCAGAAACTATGGAAGCCGAAACCGGTTTAGCTCAGTGGATGGAGCATCAGCCTGTGGATTGAAGGGTTCCGGGTTCGATTCCGGTTAAGGGCATGTACCTTGGTTGTGGGCACATCCCCAGTGGAGGCAGTGCGGGAGGCAGCTGATCAGTGTTTCTCTCTCATCGATGTTTCTCTCTCATTGATGTTTCTAACTCTCTATCCCTCTCCCACTCTGTAAGAAAAAAAAATCAATAAAATATATTAAGAAAAGAAAGAAAGAAACTATGGGAGCCACAGGCAGTGGGATGACATATTTAAAGTCTTGAAGGAAAAATGCTGTCAGACAAGATTCATATTTCTGGCAAAACTATCCTTCAGAAATGAAGGAGAAATGAAGACATTCCCAGGTAAACAAGAGCTGAGGGAGTTTGTCACTGACAGACTTGCCTACAAGAAGTGCTAACAGGCATCCTTCAGATGGTCAGTAACTCAGGCCGTGTGAGCTGGAGAGGTAACCAGAGGCAAGCAGAAGCGACTAGTATTAAATGTTTGGGCTGTAACTCATTTTTTCCTATATGATTTCAAAGACAAATGCATAAAGCAATAATCACTGATCTCCATTTCTGGGCACACAATGCATGAAGGTGTAATTTGTAACAGTAACAGCATGAGGGGGACTGCAGAGCAGCAGAGTTTTGTATCTTACTGAGGCTGAGTTGGTATACACTTAAGTACACACCCGAAGGGACGGGGAAGGGTGTTTAATGAGAAATGTTCACACCAGGGCTTGCAGCAGCCTGTTCACAACAGCCAAAGGTGGAGGATAACGGAACTGCCGTCCCATCACACTGAATGTGATTTATCAGCCTCGAAAGGACGAGGCACGGGGACGGGCCTTGCAAACACGCTGTGTGAAGGACCCAGCGCCGGAGGCCCTGCGCTGCGATTGCATTGGCTGCCGGGGCGGGGATGTGCGGGTGACGGCTAAAGGGGATGGGGTGGTTAGTTTTGAGGTGATGAGGATGTGGAACCAGAGAGTGGTGAGGATCACACGGCATCGTGAGGGCACTGACTGCTGCTGGGTGGGGAATTTTGTTACTTCCCACACTTAGGAAAGTTGGGGACGAAGACCCAGGCCAGGTCAAGGACAATCTAGCCAGCAGGCCAGGACCCCACACTGCTCAGTTTGATGCCCCCCACTGTCTGTGGGCCACACGCTGGCAGGATAGAGGCCTGTGTTGCTTGCCCCCCCAGCTCCTGAGGCCACACGGGCCATGTATGTCCCTTCAGGACTGGGGAGGCAGGAAATGACCACGAAACCAGGCTGTAAACTGCCAGGTGTCAGGGCAGCCTGCTGGTTGCCCCAGCCCCGCCCCAGAGCCCCAGCTGCGGGGGCAGAGGTGCCCTCCAATCTACAGGGTGAATCGGGGCCTGTGGGGGAGGGACAGGTGCCTGGTGCCCTCGGAGAGGTGGGAGGGCCGCGTGGTCCCCACACCCTGGCCCTGCCCGTGGTTCACCCGTCGTGTCTCCCGTAGTCTGCCTGGAGGTTCTACGCCACCAACCTGGCGCGCACGGACCTGCACTCCACGTGGCAGTACTACGAGCGCACGGTCACTGTGCCCATGTACAGGTACCGCCGCCGCGCCATCCCGCTCCTCCGCCTCCATCCCACCGTCCCGAAGCCCCTGCTTTTTATGTTCATTATTTTTATTGATTTTTGTTTCTTTTTTTCTTTAAAATTTATGTACTTTTCAAAATGGAGTTCCGTGTGTGGTTATTTCGCTGTTGATTTTGCTTTGTTTCATAGCTCACAGCTTCTTTCCACCTCTGTCCACCCACTTGGCCTCCTTGCCAGGTACATGTGTCGTGGGCACGGCGGGGACGGCCCCGAGAGCTCGGCACACGCCCCGGCACACGCCCTGGCACACGCCCGTGGGGCAGCGCCACGCTTCAGGGGACCGGGGTCTGCACGGGCAGAGGGTGGCCCTTGACACAGTGAGGCTTTAGGACCGGGAGACAAACCCCCGGGGTCCCAGGCGCCCTTGGCTGGGCCAAAGGGCGTGCTGGGCGGGGCGCTGCCAGCAGGCCCCTGGGTCCGCGTCACCAGCAGGTCAAGCTTTCCAGGCGAGAGCAGCGAGCAGCCCGGACGAGAGTGGCCGCCCAGGGTTTGTCTGTGCCGGGCTGGGGCTGCCCGGTGCCCGCCCACGCCTCATGCCCTCGGGAGGGTGGGCGCCGCCCTGCCCTCTGCCCTGTGCGGTGAAGCTAAGCCTGCCCCAGGGTTGGCGCCCGTGGATCCCTCACCTGAGAGGCTGGCCTGGCAGGACATGCTGTTCCCGCTGCCACTGGCCTCAGGAGACTTGCCACCTGGGAGCGCCCCCGCCCCGCAGCGCCAGGCACTGTGCCCCCCGAGGGGCGACAATGCCGCTAATTTTCTCTGTTCTGTTGTTTCCCCACTCTCCTCAACTGTGTTTTCATTTTCTTTTCCTTACCCCGTTCTTTTAAATGTCCACTCTCTCCCCTTGCGTGTGTGTGAAACACTTGAAAGCTCGCAAGCTCAAACCTACGGGGCCTCCAGGTAGGACATGCATGGGACGAAAGCGTGGTGTGGTCTGTCCCCTGTGACTGTCACGGCACCCAGTGTGCAGGCCAGTGGCCGCCCGCCACGCCCCTGCACCCCTCCCAGCCTGGGGCCGGCCGGGCCTGCCCTGTCACCTGTGTCCACGCCTGGAGTGCACTTTCCTCACCTCCCCTTTCCCTCAAAACTGCCTCCCCACCCCCAGCTGCTTTCTTGTGTTGGATCTGTCTCCAAGTCTTGTCCTTGTCCTGCTTCTTGCCTGTCTCAGTGGCTGGGTCCCTCCCTGGTCCACCCACCCCATGAGCCTACGTACGCACAGACAGACGTGCTGGAACTGGGCTCCTCGTCCCACTCGGGGCCACTGCACACGTGGCGGCCAGGCAGCTGGCCTGAGCCCTCCCTTGGATCCCCCGCTCCTTCTTCCTGCTGCCACAAGAGGGAGACACAGCCCCGGGAGGAGCGGCCCGCGTCCGCCCAGTCTGCCGGATGGCTGTGTCTGTCTGCACTGGGCTCTCTCCTGCCCGAAGGAGGAGAAATTCCACCTGCACAGCACTCCGTACTTCCCTGCAGAGCGGGTGGGCAGTGCGGGGTGTCCCGTGTGGACAGCGAGCCTGGACAGAAGCTCTCCCGCGCCCTCCAGGCCCCTCCTTAGGTGTTACCGCAGCCCGAGGGGAGAGGCTCGCTGGGCAGTGCAGGGCAGGCTCCGCGGTGGGGGGCCCCTCGCATCGCCTCACCTCTGTGAGCCCGAGGCTTCACGCTGAGGAGAAGGTGCGGCGGGAGCCGTGTCCTCCCGTCTGGGACCAGGGTTCCTGGGGCTCCAGGCCGCCCGGGCATTTCCCTGATCGCCCTCTGGCCGGCCCAGATCCCCTGGGCTCTGCAGAGCACCCCCACCTCACAGGGGCCTCCGGGCTCCAGTGCCCGGAGCTGGCTGGCCTCCTGGGAGATGCCCCTGGCATGTGCCCACTCCTGTCCGCACACTGCACCCACCCTCCCGGCCGCTGCCCTCGGAGATGACGTGTGTGCCTGGCCCTGCGTGCGGTGCCTGCGTGTTCCTGCCCGCAGCCTGCCCGCCTGAGTCCCGTCCCCTGTGCTGTGTCCCTCACCCTGGACCTGCATGTGAGGGCCGTGCGCCCTCTGCTCCAGGCCTGTGGGCCGCGGCTGGGGGCAGCTCTGTCCTGGGGGAGGGAAGGGCTCCCAGGGCCATCATCTCCAGCAGGTCTCAGCACGCACGGAGCAGGGAGGGGGAGCTGTGGGTGGGGGCGGGGGCAGGGCTGTAGGCGGGGGTGCAGGGCTGCGGGGGAGGGTGGGAAGGGGGACAGCTGTGGGCGGGGGAGGCTGTAGGCGGGGGGGGGGGGCGTGCAAAGCTGGGGGGGAGGGCAGGGCTGGGGGGAGGGCAGGGCTGGGGGGAAGGGCAGGGCTGAGGGGGAGGGCAGGGCTGGGGGGAGGGTGGGGAGGGGGACAGAGCTGTGGGTGGGGGGGGCGGGGCTGTAGGCGGGGGGTGGGGCGTGCAGGGCTGGGGGGGAGGGCAGGGCTGGGGGGAGGGCAGGGCTGGGGGGGAGCGGCAGGCTGCTCCGTGGGCTGTGCCCGGACTGCTGGGCGGTGATGCCAGTGGAGGTGTGGCCCCAAACCAGGGTCCTGAGCCCCTGGGAGTGCAGGCAGAGCCCTGGGGGGTTCTGGGAGGAGGCCGCCCAGGTGAGCAGTCCCGCAGGGCAGTGCTGGGGGTCAGGGCAGGGCCACTCGGGAGGGTCTGCGCTGAAGTTCCTGGCTGTGCGGCGGCTGGCAGGCAGGAGGAGGGTGGCTGGACAGAGGGGAGTGTGAGGGGCAGAGGGAAGCCAGGGGTAAGGGCAGCCCTCATAGCCCAGTGAGCAGTGGAATCCATGCCTTTCTGCGTGGTGAGTGACAGGAGCCGTCGCCTGGAGGGCCGGCCTCCGACGGCCAGGCTGAAGCGTGGGAGGGGAGGAGCAGCCGGGAGGAGCGGCGGAGGGCTGGGTGAGCCTTGGGTGGCTGGACGCCCAGCCAGCCTGCCGAGGTGAGGCTCAGACACAGTCGCAGGGTGGGGTCAGAGACCCTGGGGTCCAGAGGGTGGAGGCTGAGGAGAGGCTGGGCTGGGTCTGGGTCTTGGGCCTGGTCTTGGGGAGGGACCCGGGCTCAGGCTGAGGGGTGAGTGGGGTGTCAGTGATGGGGCTGGATCGGAGCAAGAAGCCTGGGGTCACAGGTGAGAGGGAATGTGGGGGAGGAGGCGGGGAGGAGCTGAGAGTGGGGTGGACTGTGGGCCTGGGACCTCCCAGGCACCTCCGGGGCCCACAGCGTAGGCCCTGGTGTGAAGCAGAGCCGTGTGAAGTCTGCTGGACTGCCCTGTGGCCAGCAGGCGGGTGGGGTATGAGCTGTCTGGCGGGTGTGCCTGGGTCTGGGGGAGGGGGCTGGAGGGAGCGAGGCCAGCTGTCCAGGCCTCTCCCTGTCCAAGCAGCCTCTTCACAGCTCACAAAGCTGCCCGAGACCCTGCCTGGCCCGGCTTTGCAGAGGGTCGGGAGCCCAGCCTGTTGGGCGCTGTGTTCGTGGCTGTGCCGCCCTGGGGGTGCAGGGACTGGGAGGGGACGGGAGGGACCTGCCTGTGCCCGGGGCCCTGCTTGACTCGCTCTGTGCAGTCAGGGGTCGGAGTCTCCGGGATGCGACCTGGGCTCTGCTCCCTTCTCTCTGAGTGCCGGCTGGTCACTGGCCGCTTCCAGGGCCACGGCCCAGGACAGGTGTGGCCAGAGCAGGCAGATGGGCTTCTGCCGGTGCCCCCGCCCCCGCCCCGGGCTCCTGTGGTGAGGCGGGAGCTGGCGGTGCCCGGGCTCGGGCGAGCTCACTGCCCTCTCTCCCCTCAGACTGATCCCCCCGCTCAACCAGCTGGAGCTGCTGCGGAACCTCAAGAGCAAATCCGGCCTCACGTTCAGGTCAGCAGCGGAGCTGCCGCGCGCCTCGGGGCGGCTTGGCGTGCCCGCGGGGCCGGGGACACCTGCCCGGCCGGCCACAGGGCCTGTGATGTCCGTGGGCCTGACCTGGGGTGAGGTGGGGAGGAGGGCTGGGGCCCAGGTCAAGAGCTCTGAGTGGGCAGAGCAGCTGCAGGTCAGTGCTGCCCCTCCCCGAGACGTGGTGGCGGAGCCTGTGAGGGCGGGAGCTGGGGAAAGCTTGTGGCGAAGTGAAGGCCGCTCTGGGGCAGCGAGGCCCTACACCCAGGCACGCGTGTCCTCTTGAGGGACAGGGAAAGGGCCGTGTGTGCAGGTGGAGTCAGGCCGGCCGCTGGTCGCTGGTTACAGAATGGAGGGGAGAGGCGGATGGGGAGGAGCTGCTGAGCGGAGAAGCCAGCTCCAGAGACGTGGGGGGTCGGCCGGCCAGATTGCCAAGGGCAGTAACTTGGGAGGAAGAATCGCTTCAGGGAGCGGCCCTGGGTGGAGGGGGAGGCCCCATGTGTGTGTGTGGGGGGGTGATGGGCTGGGGGGATGTGGGAGCGGTTCCAGGCCTGGGGACCCAGCCCACCCTCCTGCAGGAGCAGCGGGGAGAGGGGCTTCTGGGGGAAGCGAGAGCCCCTGGAGCGGCGACCCCTTTCCCAGGCCCTGCCTCCTCGGGGCTCAGGAGCTGTGGCAGGGCCCGTGGGGCGTGCTGCCGAGGGAGGCCTCCTGCCCCGGGGGTGTGCCTGGCGGGGTCGGCCCTGACAGTCCTCTCGCTTCTGTTTGAAGGAAGGAGCCGCAGCCGGAGCCGTCCCCCAGGTCAGTGTGCGCCCACTCCCTTGTCTGCATGCCACGCCAGCCCGGGCTGCTCCGTGGGCTGTGCCCGGACTGCTGGGCGGTGATGCCAGTGGAGGTGTGGCCCCAAACCAGGGTCCTGAGCCCCTGGGAGCGCAGGCCGAGCCCTGGGGGGTTCTGGGAGGAGGCCACCCAGGTGAGCAGTCCCACAGGGCAGTGCTGGGGGTCAGGGCAGGGCCACTCGGGAGGGTCTTTGCTGCCGAGCGGCAAATCCTGGCGTGTTGGAAGCTTCTGGGGAGAATGGGAAGGGTGCCTTTTAGACAGGCTCTCAGCAGGTGAGAGCCTGGCCCGAGGAGGGCACGGGGGGTGACCTCTGTGCAGGTGGACACGGTGTGGCCCCGTGTCTCCCTCGTGGCAGCAGAGAGCTCAGGCCACACCACAGCTTCACGTGAGCTGCAGCCTGGGGGTCACCCAGCGCCCCCTGCACTCACTGCAGCGGAGGCCAGTCCTCTGAAGGGGGCCCAAGGCACCACCCTCCTGCTGCTCCCCACGGTGTGCCCTCTGGGCCGCAGGTGGCTTGCTGGCTGCAGGTGGGGTAGACAGGATTGGCTGAGCTCGCCCTCTCCAGCCCCGAGGCAGCCCCTCCGGCCCCGCCGTGCCCGGAGGGAAGATGGGCGGTGCTTCTGTCCTGAGCGCCACAGGGCCTCCGCGCAGGGACCCTCAGAGGCTGAGGGAACACTCTGGACAGGAGCTGGTTCAGCCCGGGTGGGGCCGGTCTGCGCCTCACGGCACCGGTGGGTGGCGGACTCGGTGCCTCGCCCACAGGCCCTCTGCCCCGTGTCTGCGAGGGCTTCCTGTGGCTCCCACGCTCACAGCCGGCTGTTCTCCCCTCCGGGCACCTCTGGTCTCAGCCCCTCTCTCTCTCTCCCCTCCCTGCCTGCCCCTCCCAATCTGGAACTCTGGCCCCAAGTGCTTCAGTCTGGCACTGCCCTCTCGGGCCCTTTCTCGCGCTCTGTCTTTGGGGATGAGGCACTGGCCCTGAGAGCAGGACTCCAGGTGAGGACACGGGCGCCTCCGGGCTCTGTAGTATGCTCCCCGCCCTCGCCAGTCCTCGTCCTCCGTGTGTCCTGTGTCCCTGCCTGCCTGCCCAGCAGCTCCCCAGGGCCAGCCCAGCCCCGCCTCCTGGGAACCAAGGGCTTTGCCTCCCCCGAGAGGCACACCTATCCTCCAGGTACTGGCACTGAAGCAGGTGTGTAAGAAACCGCTCTGCACCGCACTTGTCCCCGGGGCCGGGCTGTGGGAGTGATCCTGCTCTGTAAGTGCAGGGGAAGGGGTGGATGCAAGGACCCTCGCTCAGCTCGGTGAGCCCAGGCCCGTGGCGGGCAACCACAGCTGTGGTGGGTCAGACGAGGCCACCTGCACGGGCTGGAGCTGGGGGCCGGGCAGCCAGGGGCCTCAGGCGGTGCTGCTCTGGGCGTGTCCCTGACCCACCCTTTGACCCTTCCCATTTCTGACTGCCACCCCCCCCCCCATCCATGGAGGAGACCCTGCCCACTGCTTCGCCCCGTGTCCACATGGGTCCCTCCTTGTCACAGGCGTGTCTGTCCAGGGCCTTGGTGAGTGTCTGTGGTGGGTCTTCCTCCCTCCTGGGCCTGGCCTCCCTGGGCTTGAAGCGGAAGCTCTAAAACAGGAGACAGCCAGGTTGGCTGACGGGCAGGAACACCAGTGCCAGCCTGGACCTCGGAGGGACAGGCAGGGTCGGAGTTCTTGACACCCCAGGCTCAGGATCGGGGAGCCAGCAGCCCACCGTCCTCGCTCTGGCAGGCTCTGAGGCTGCACAGCCCACAGGAGCCACGGCCACGTGTGCTGTTCAGGTCCCGCTGACCTGCATCCAGTGAGCAGCCGCCGCCCGAGGGCTCTGGGCGGGGGTGGGCGGCCTGCCAGACCGCAGGGAGCGTCTGTGCGGGCGGAGGGGCGGAAGTGCTTGCAGGGCAGGCGCCGGGCGGGAGGTTCGCAGCAGCAAACTGGGACCTTCACCGCTGGAAGCTGAGCCACCCCTGCTGCCACCCGGGGAGCCTGAGGGGGAGCCTGGCACGGGAGCTCTGGCCGAGGGGCCCTGCCTCTAGCTGTCAGTGGGCTCTGATGGTGACAGGGAGGGTGTCCTGGGAGAGAATGTTTGCCCCGAATTCAAGGGGCTTCTGGGAGCAGCTGGAGCTGCCAGGTGGGGTCTGGGTCTGGGGGATACTGAGCCACAGGGAGGTTTGCCCCTTGCCGGACAGCAGGGCCCCAGCTCCCTCCCACCGGGATAAGTACCTGGCAGGCCCCACAGGGAGGAGGCCAGGGGCGCGCAGGTCCTTCTTGGGGAGCATGGGGAGGCGCGGGAGCTGAGAGCCGGGCTTGCTGGTTCAGAGGTGGTCGGTGGCTGCTCTATGTGGGAGTGGAGCGGGGTGTCGACACCCCCGATGCTTAAACGAACGTGTGTGTGTGGATGCTGAGCCTCCTCCTGGGAACGGAGGCCACCAGGCACAGGTGGGTTCCTCAGGTGCGCAGTTTGAGAACTGCTGTCTCAGGAGCAGCAGCTTTTAAGGTGGAGAAAGAGGGAGAGGTGCTGGGAAAGCCCAGGAGGTCTTGCAGTTCTGGTTTGTTGCTCTCTTGCGCGTTCTGCTGCAGATACCTCCTGGCTTTCAGGAGGTCCTAGGGCGCTGGCCATGGAGGACACCCCAGCCACCCCTCCCTGGCCTGGCACCCCCCCTTCCCCTGAGCCTCCTCCAGGGAGAGGTGGCCTCTGCCTGGGCAGCTGGCTTGGCTCGGCAAACCTTACTGATTGGTTTGTGAAACCAAACTACACATTTTCCTCCTAAAAACACGTGCCTTCCAGAACCTTGGCCACTAGTGCAAGCCTTTTGCAAAGTCTTAGCCCACGTATTGTTTTTGTTTGTGAATTAGCAAAAATAGCACATCTTCACAAAAGATGTGGCCCCAAGCTCCGACTCCCGAAGGAAAAGGCATTTTTGGAGGGAAAACCGGAATTTTTTATTTTCTCCTGAAATAGGGGACTGTTTTCTTCTCCAGGCCGGCAGAATACTTTATGTGCAGCCTCCGTAAGGTCCTTGCTCAGACACAAGCTCTGTGGCTGGTGGACCCTGAGCCCAGAGCTACCCCAGGGCGGTCACGGTGCCTCAGTTTGCCTGCCCAGTTGCCGAGCCCAGGCTCCCTGCCGGGACTAACTGTGCTCTCCTCGTTTCCAGTAAAGGCAGGACGTGCAGAGAGGGCCTGTGCGGATGCTGCCCTGGACGCTCTAGGTACCATGGACGCATGGCACGGACGCCCTGCTGCACGGCTCATCCGCTCCCAGCGCTGCTTGTTAGGATTTCCGGAGGAGCGCGAGAGGCCCGGCTCCCCATTCCGATTGGCAGCGAGGCCCACAGCCCACTAGGGCAGTGCGAGGCGCCCTCTGATTCCAAAACGCTTTCTCCTTAAGCCAAGGCGCCCTGCTCCCAGCAGGAGTGGCCGGCCAGGGGCCTGAGAACCCAGAGCGGGCGCTGGCCCCGGGACCCTGAGGCTCCAGAAGCCCCTCTCCGGGGCCAGTGTACACCCCTGCTCGGCACCTGAGGACAGCCCCCCTCACCGGCCGCCTCGCCGCCTGCCGGGCACTCCGCCCCGTGTGTGCCGGCTCCCGTGGTCCTCACACACCAAACACCAGAAAGCCAGAGGCCCATGGCTCCCCTTCCACGCACAGGCCTGGTTGAGGGCAGACTGGACCGGGCCAGCGGAGGGCGCACCTGTGACACCATTGAGCACCTCAACTGCTCCACGTGCTCCTCGTCCGCTGTCAGGCGGCGAGCAGACTGTCTTTCTGCTTGCTCAGAGTGCACCCCCGTCTCCCTCCTGCCGGGTGTGGGAGCCACTCACTGGTCGTCCGTGCGTGTGGTTGGTGCCGAGGGAGCACACAGGGTGCCCAGGCGTCGGAGGGCCGTGCAGCAGGATCAGGCCCGAGAGGCCGCATGCTTGCACCTCTGCATCTGCGCATGCTCCAAACCCTTCTCCACCTGTCCATGCTACCTGTGTGCTCACAGACGTGGGAGCTTGTGGGATGATGTAGCCCCAGGGGGAGAGATCTGGGCTGGGCAGAGGCGTCCTGCTTGCCCGGAGCTGGGTCCATGGTGCGTCTAGCCACAGGCTGCCCCCTCAGGCCGGCTGCGTCAGGCAGCGTGGGGACAGAAGGGCCAGGAGGCCAGCCGGGTGCAGTCCTGCCTTGCACGGAGTCAGAAACGCCCCTCCGTCCTGGGCATCGGGCCCACCACGTGCGGGCCTCTCACCCGCCCATCCCAATTTGCCGCTGGCCCCACGACTGAGACTTCCGCCTGGGTATGGCGGGCAGGGAGGGTTCTGGGCGCAGTGTTCTCTCCCAGGCTCTCCTGAACGTGCTCAGCCTATGTAAGTGCCAGAGCCTCAAGCCCCTCGCGTGCACAGGTCTGTCCTTGGCTTGGGAGGGAGGGAGGGCGGGCCGCTGGCACTGGGTATCTGGAGTTGGGGCAGGTCCAGGTGGCATCAAGTGGCTGGGGGCGCAGAGCCTCAACGATGGTGGGGGTCCGGTGTCCACGCTGTGACACTCCCCGCAAGGGACCCTCTGGTCTAAGCAGGCGGACGGGGGCCCAGGCGGGGCTGGGGAGGCTCCTTCCCGTGGCTCCATCCTTGGGCAGCTGAGTTCCTGGGCCCATGTGCTGCCTGGGCAGCAGGTCCCGCCAGGGCCCCCCGCTCTCCTGACTGGGGGCCACACTGCTCAGGCTCTCCCTGGACCAGCGGGTAGCCTTGGTTAGGACAGGAACACAGAAGAGTCATGTGTTCAGGGATCCAGGCTGTCTCGGTCCCCACCTGCCCACTCAGGCCCTGCCTGCCTGCAGTGGCCACCAGCTCGGGGCCAGTGTCCTGAGCAAGCTGACTCCTGGCCTTGTGCTTGCAGGCACTCCGGGGGACTGCCCACAGTGGGCTCCACGCCTGCAGAGACCCCTGGCCTAGTGCACGGCCTGTGGGCCAGGGCCAGGAGGGCGCCAGCCAGGCCAGGGGCCAGAGGTGCTGCCTCTCCATGGCCAGTCAGGTGGCGCTGCCTGACCGTGGGTCCAGGCTGTGCGTCTGGTTGGGGCCGAGGGAGGTGGCTACCCCGGGTAGCACGGGGGGGCGGGGGGGCGATGTCTGAGGTTAGTAGGCGTGGTGGTTCCACAGGAAGCCCTGGGCAGCAGGGGAATGGTTCCCAGAGCCTGCCCTCTTCTCCAGCACATGAGGACTGCCAGTGGGAGGAAGTGAGTGGCCGCCAGGCACACTCGGTGTCAGACCCATCGCCACGGTTACTAGGTGTGTGGGCAGGGAGGCCTGCGGGGGGCGGCTGGCCGGCCCTGGCGCCCTCCCTGCCAGCGCTCGACAGCCAAGTGGCCGCAGAGCACACCCGCCCACTCCACCCTCCGGGAGCTCCCGTGCGCCTGGGGTGGGGAAGCCTGGACAGCCCAGGGCAGAGGGAGGTGGACAGGGACCACCCCCAGGATGCTTGTGTCGTGTCCTCCCTGCTCCCCAGGGCTCTGGGGGAGGGGCAGCGGAGCCTATGGCTGGTCAGGTCCCACACTGGTGCCAGGGAGAAGCCGCTGGTGCTGGGCATTGGAGGACTCGTCCGGCTATGCGTGTCACCGTGGGAGGGAGTCCTGGCTGGACAGTGTGGACAGAGCGGGGCTCCTTTTGGTGGTAGACAAAGCAACATACAACCCTGACAAGCCCCTGAGCCAGCCCGGATTCGCTGGTGGAATTGACCTGGTGACCTCTGACCCCCGGGCTCCAGGCCAGGGCAGCGGCCCAGAGGGCATTCCTCTGAGTCTGGGCTGCAGCTGTCGGGTCCACGTGGGAGGATGTCCGCTAAGAGGAGCTGACGGGGGCCAGTGTGCTGTCCAGAGTGACTCCTCCTGTCTCTTTCTGTGTGTCTATCCGCCTGTCCTGGAGCAGTCAGAAGGTCAGTTTGAAAGACCGTGTCTTCTCCAGCCCCCGAGGTGTGGCTGCCAAGGGGAAGGGGTCCCCGCAGGCTCAGCCCGTCAGGCGGTCGCCCAGCGCCGACCAGAGCCTGGAGGACAGTCCGAGCAAGGTGCCCAAGAGCTGGAGCTTCGGGGACCGCAGCCGCGCACGGCAGGCCTTCCGGGTCAAGGGCGCCGCGTCCCGGCAGAACTCAGAAGGTGGGTCAGGTCTGCGTCGCCGGCCCAGCCCTTCCAGGGCTCGCCCGAGGGCAGCCCACTCACCCGCCGCTGCTTAGTGAGGTGAAAGCACGTCACGTAACATCAGCCATTCTAAAGCGAGCCATGCAGGGGCGCCGGGCACGCCCACGCTCTGGCCAGGACACTTCCTCCGCAGAGGGCCCAGCGCCCCCCTCCTCCCCCGCCCCCGCCTCCTCCCGGCGCGGGCGGGCCCGCGGCTTCTGTTGGGGTGTCCGGCTCAGTTCCCGGGGTGCTCTCTGGCACACGTTTCTTTTTATGCTGAGCGGTGTCCCCCGATACTGGGTGTGGACATGCCCCACTCTGGCCCTCCATCCGTCCACTCACAGTGATGCCCGCAGGCCGAGGCCAGCAAAGCTGCTGAGAAAGGTCAGGTGGCGGCAAGAGCATGTGGGCTGGACGGTGCCTGGAGGTGCCGAGGGGTTCCCTGACGAGGGTGCCAGGCGCCAAGGGACTGGTCTCTTTGGGGCCTCATGGGCGGCGTCCCCTTCCACCCAGAAGCAAGCCTCCCCGGGGAGGATATCGTGGATGACAACAAGAGCTGTACTTGCGAGTTCGTGACCGAGGACCTGACCCCGGGCCTCAAAGTCAGCATCCGGGCCGTATGGTGAGTGACCCTGGTGTCTGGGGTGAGGACGCCCCCTCACAGGGTCCTGACGGGCAGTCACCGTTCCTGGGATGCAGCTTTGGGGGGTTGTGTGAGGGCACACACTCGGGGCGGGGGAGAGGGAGACACGGCCGACACCCCCTCAGTCCCAGCTCTTGTGGCTCAGAAGGCCCCTCGTGTCACGGGGTTTCCTTGCCCACCATCCGAGGGGTTAGTGAGCAGCCAGGAGCTGCCCTCGGGGTTCTCGGGGGGGGGGTGCTGGTCTGCCTGAGCAGCTGGGACCAGAGCGGCTGTGTCTTTGGTGGTGGGCGGCCCAGGAACTGGGACAAGTTGTCCAGAGCACCTTCTCAGAAGCGCTGGGAGGCCCAGGAAGTGGGCGCTGGGCTGGCCCTGGTGGAGGGTGTTCCGCAGTGGCCTCTGCCCCGGCTCACGGCCCTGCCCCACCCTCAGCGTCATGAGGTTCCTGGTGTCCAAGCGGAAGTTCAAGGAAAGCCTGCGGCCTTACGACGTGATGGATGTGATCGAGCAGTACTCGGCCGGCCACCTGGACATGCTGTCCCGCATCAAAAACCTGCAGTCCAGGCAAGAGCCGCCCTGAGCCTGGGCCTGAGGCCTGGCCTCCCGGCCGGCTGGCACGCCACCAAGTGGGGAGACGGGTGCTGGGGAGGGCTGCCACGCCCCCGCCAAGCTGGGGGCAGGGGCAGGGCTGAGGTGGGCCCGGCGGCCAGACCTCTGGGCCCTTCCTCTCGGCCCCACATGGACTTTCCGTCATGCTTGTTTAAACACCTCTGTTAGCTGTCCCCTTTCTTCCCTCCTGCCCACTCTATGATGGGAAGCATGCATGTGTGAGTGCACATGTGTGTGAGCACACGGTACATGACTATGTGCATGTGTATGGGTGCATGCATGTGTGTGCATGTGCGTGTGCCATGATGTGCACAGGTGTGTGTGTGTGTTGAGAGGTGAGGTTGTGGGCATGCCCGCCCAGTGTCAGTTATGCACCTTGGCACCTCTTCTGCCGGGACAGAGGGCCTTGTCCCTCCACGCACCTCCTGGGCAGTAAGTGGGGCTGCGGTGGGTGTCTGTGGTGCGTGTCTGCGGTGTGGCAATGGCAGGGCACATGCCGCTCTCTCCAAGCCCACGTGTATGAGAACTGGCTTGCTCACCCTAAAAAGTACCTGTACATGTATGTATACAGACATGAGCAAGGGCTTGAGGCATACACACATGTATGTGAATAGATGCGCACACATTGCACACAAAGGCCTATGCCCATCCCACATGCACACACATGGTAGTGCACACGTGTGCACATATATGCTGTTAGCATAGTCCCACGTGTATTGCCACATAATTCTGCACACACAAATGCACTGCCAGTACATGTGGGCTCATAGGCACCCACCCTCCACATATAAATGAGCTGCATACACATGTGTTTGTGGTGCTTGTGAGCAGGTCACAGCTATTGTGGGGGTCTTTCCTGAGACGGGTCCCTGCCCATCCCATCGCAGCCCCTCAAATGGCTACTGCACTGCCCAGTCCCGAGGGCAGCCCCATCCTAGCCCCCGGGAAGCGATAAGTCCTCGTGCTGGGAAGTCGGTGCACCCGCTCGGGGGCCTCCGCTGTGCTGCTCCTGGAGGGCCTTACCTGCCTCCTGCGGGCGGGGGCAGGGTGACACCTCCGTCTGCCTGGGCTCAGGCCCAGGCCAGTCCTCCCAGAGCACCGACTACGCCTGTGTGTGAGTGTGCACAGGAAGGGAAACGTGTGAGCATGTGAGTGAAAACATGTGAGTGTGTGCAAACATGTCAGGTGTGCCCCTGTGCAGACGTGCATGCGTGAGCAACACATGTGATTATGCATATGACTGAGTGTGCATATGTGTGCATGAGCAGATTGTGAGTATAAATGAGTATGAGTCTGCCTGTGTAAACAGACATGTGTAGTGTGCACATGACTGCATGTGCCTGTGTGTGCATAAGCAGGCTGTTAGTATACACATGAGTGTGCGAACCTGTCTGTGTACACATAAGCAAACATGTGTGTGTAGTGTGAGGTGTGTGTGTGTGTGTGTGTGTTGTGTGTACCTGTGAGCAATTTGTGTGCGGGGAGAGAAGAGCCTGCCTGCTGGGCCTCCAGCGCTGCAGCTGTGGTGCTCCCAGTCCTCCCGCCCTGAGCGCCCTCTCCTTCCTTCCTGTGGGAAGAGGGAGTGCTCCCCGGAGAGGACTGGCCACAGCCCCAGTGTTGTCAAAGCGGGCGCTTCCGATGCTGGACCGCTGGCCGTCGCCCTGCACACATGCACGCCCGCCGGCAGGCCGGGCGCCGCCGGGCGCGGCGGGGCCGTGCTCCCTGACCAGGGGAGCGTGGACGGGGCGGCGCCCGCTGTGTTGGTGGAGTGGCCGTCTGAGAGGTCTGCTTCAGTGGCTGCTCCTGCCGGCAAGCCAGCCGGCCCTCACGTGCTCACGACGCGTTTGCTGGTGTCTCTTCTCTTGTTTGCTCGCCAGGATAGATATGATTGTGGGCCCCCCACCCCCTTCAACTCCCCGGCACAAGAAGTACCCCACCAAAGGACCCACGGCCCCTCCGAGAGAGTCACCCCAGTTCTCGCCTAGGTCAGGACGCCAGCCCTCTCCTGCCTGTGTCTGTGGAATGGCCAGCCCCCTTCGCTCCAGGCCACATGACGGCAGACCGCACTGCTCTCCCGAGGGTGGAGGGGCATTTCTCTGCCGCTGGCCGCCACGCCGGGGCGGGCGACCCTCTTGGGAGCAGAGGGCACAGAGCCGGCAGGGCTCCCTGGGTAGAGGCAGAGGCCAGCATCGGGGTGCCCAGAGTGCAGGGAGGACCTCCAGGACTCCAGGACCACGGTGTCCTTGCCACGCAGCCCCCAGCCCCCGCACGCCTGCGGGGCTGACCTGTGAGGATCTGAGCAGATCCTGTCACTTCTCTCGCCTTGAGCCTGTGGACCAACACGGGTCCGCATCACGGGCAGCGTTCCGACGGGCAGAGTGGACGGTGCGTTAGCACATGAGCTCAGGAGCCAGTCCAGACATTGGAGCCCTCCGGCATCCCTGGGACCCGTCAGCGGATGCTGTGCCTGCCTGCCCTCTCCGGCAGGTGTGGTCAGTCCCAGATGTGAGGGTGAGCAAGATGCCCCCGGCAGAGGGGCCCAGCGCACCTGGGGGCAAGGTCAGCATGTCAGACATCTCCGCCTAGCGTTCTCAGGAGAGGGCCTGACCCAGGGTGGCCCCAGACAATATTTTCTGGGTCCCCTGCTCTACCATGGCCCCAGCCCCAAGGATGGGGTGCCTGAGACCCAAGCCATCCTGGAGCTGCTGCAGGGGCTGAGAGCCAAGAGCTGGGAAAGCCCTGCTGCCTTCAGAGCCCGGGCTCTAGGCCGCAGACAGCGCTCAGCCACGCAGAGGAGGCAGGAGGACAGTCTTGGCACATGGGGGTTAAGGGGCTAAGCCACCTCCGAGGCCCGAGGCCCGGGGCAGGGTGCACCGGCTCCTCAGAGGGCCCCCTCCCAGCCCCCCAGCAGCAGGCCGAGCCCGTGGCCAAGGCTCCCAGGGGACCGGCCAGGCGGGCGTCATCATGTGGCAGGGGTGAAGGCGCTGAGCCCGGCCTGGCCTGTATGCACATGTAGCAACACCGTGAGCCCCTTCTCCATGTCCATTCCCACGGGCATGTGCTTGGAGCCCAGCATCCCTGCCGTCCCTCCCACCTGCTGGCCCTTTGGGTGCATGAGTCCAGCATGAAGCCTGTGAGAGCATGGGGAGGCCGCTCCATGGCTGACGCAAGCCTGAACCCCTCTTCTGCTTCCTGCAGCGGAAAGAAACCACCCCAAAGCCCCACCTGAGGCTGACAGGGCGGTCCTGTGGTCAGGAAGGAAGCCCAGCTGTGACCCAGCCAGCTCACAAGTTCCCTGCACCCCAAACCTGAGAAGTGAGCTTTGTGCTGGGGGCTCCAGGCCTGAGATGAGGCAGGGGCTGTGGCCTCGGCCTGGGGCCTGTCTGGCTTGTCTGCATCCTGGCTCAAGCACCGTTTGCTGGGCAGTTTCGCAGCCGCTGCCCCAGGGCTTACAGACAGCCCGGTCCTTGATGCCAGTCCATGCACTTACCCCCTAAGGCCCCTCCGAGCCCTTCCTGCACAGCGTGGGCAACAAGCCCTCCTCGGCATTCATGACTGAGGCCTGGTTTGAGAGAAGCTCAGCTGTGTTCTGCATCCTGCACACGTGTGCGCGCGCGTACACACACACACACACACACACACACACACACACACACACGTTCTCACTTGTACACAGGCATGCATGATATACATGTGTTCACACAGTGGACACAATGCACGCACGCACACACAAGCACAATATACCCCAAACACATGCACACATAGACACACAGTGTACCCTATGCATGCGCATACACGCACATGTGCAAACACACAGACTCCCTCTCTGGTTGTGCGTGGGCAGTTTCTGTGCTGGTCTGTGTCCCCGCTCCCGGTCCTGGTGCATGGAGCCCAGCTCTCTCCCCGCCCTGCTTTGTTGTCCCCCTGCAGACGTTTGCCTGCCCGCACCGGACTGGCTGGGCAGAGGGCTGAGGCACATTATGCAGGATGGAAGCTCAGGAGGGGGCAGAGCTTCGGGGTGAATGGTCGCAGGGCCTTCCTGGGCCTCCTCACCGATGTGCCGGCCACCGGGAGGGGTGGACAGGGAGCAGCCCTGGGAGTCCAGAACCAGGCGGGAATAGGTGCCCGGCATCCCTCTGTCCTGGCACCTGCTGCCCAGTCAACTCTGGGTGCGGCCTGGAGCCTGCATCTGGAGGCTGTGGCCTCTCCAGGAAGACAGGGCCACAGCCTCCATTCCCACTCGAACCTGTGCCGTGGGCGGGGTCTCTTCCCGGCAGAGTGGACCAGATTGTGGGGCGGGGCCCGGCGATGACCGACAAGGACCGGACCAAGGGCCCGGCGGAAGCAGAGCTGCCGGAGGACCCCAGCATGATGGGCCGGCTGGGCAAGGTGGAGAAGCAGGTGGGCGAAGCCGCGAGAGCGCCGTGGGGCTAGCCCAGGGCTAGGGACGGACGCTGCAGGAGGGTCCTCGAGCTTCCAGGGGCCTAGGCCCTGCACGGCTCAGGTGCTCATGCCCCGAGGCCTCCCCAGGCGGGGGCACGTCCCCTCCTTTGGCCAAGGCCCTTGGGACCAGGAGCACCATTTGTGCCCCCCCTTGCCTGGGTGGAGGCCTGTGGGTGGCCTCTGTCACCTGGCCCTCGCCCCAGAGCCCTCTCCTGGACACATAAGGACTTCCACTGCTCTGGCGGGGGCGGGGGGGCATGAGCCCTGTGGCAGCCAGGTCAGCAGGAGCACCCAGGCAGCACTCCGAAGCCTGAGGCCACACAGCAATGGGCTCCGTGGCCGAGCTGGTGGTGGGTCTGCCTCCCTCTGCCTCTGCCTCTGCCTCTGCAGGGAGCAGCCCGGGCGCCCCCCCCCCCCCCCCCCGCTTCAGGGAAAAGCTGGGCTCTTTGCCTCAGGGAGCAGCCTGCCCAGCAGCCCCTCCTGCAGGTCCTGTCCATGGAGAAGAAGCTGGACTTCCTGGTCAGCATCTACACGCAGCGCATGGGGATCCCGCCCTCAGAGACTGAGGCGTACTTCGGGGCCAAGGAGCCGGAGCCGGCACCGCCCTACCACAGCCCCGAGGACAGCCGCGACCCCGGCGACCGCGGCGGCTGCATCGTCAAGCTCATCCGCTCCACCAGCTCCATCGGCCACAAGAATTTCGCGGCGCCCCCGGCCGCGCCCGCTGCCCAGTGCCCGCCCTCCACTTCGTGGCAGCCTCAGGGCCATCCACGCCAGGGCCACGGGGCCTCGCCCGTGGGGGACCACGGCCCGCTGGTGCGCATCCCGCCGCCGCCCTCCCACGAGCGCTCGCTGTCCGCCCACAACGGCGGCCGGGCGGGCGCCGAGGCCCTGCGGCACGAGGGCGCGCTGCGCGACAGCGACACGTCCATCTCCATCCCGTCCGTGGACCACGAGGAGCTGGAGCGCTCCTTCAGCGGCTTCAGCATCTCCCAGTCCAAGGAGAACCTGGACGCGCTCAACAGCTGCTACGCGGCCGCGGCGCCCTGCGCCAAGGTCAGGCCCTACATCGCGGAGGGCGAGTCGGACACGGACTCGGACCTCTGCACCCCCTGCGGGCCGCCGCCCCGCTCCGCCACGGGCGAGGGCCCCTTCGGGGACGTGGGCTGGGCCGGGCCCCGGAAATGAGGCCCGTCGCTTCTCCCTGACTCCTGGCCTGGAGGTGGCGGGCGGACCCTCCGGTGCCCATGCTGAAGCGGCGGCGGCAGTGAGGCTCCCGTCTTCACGGTGAAGGTTAACGCAAGTCCTTTCCCAACAATGGCCCTCAGGCCGCATGCCCGCTCTGCAGACCCCGGCCCACGTGTGCGAGGGCGGGTGTTGGCAGAGGACGGCCCCGGTAGAGGCTGGAGGGGTGGTCAGGGAGCGGGCCAGAGTGAGGGTGCCCGGGCGGGACAGGCCTGCCCCCTGGAGGTGTGTGCCTGTGTGCGGCCGGGAGGACACCCCTAGCCTCCCAGTGCCACCCGCTGCGCTCTGAGTGCCCGAGAGGAGGGGCCAGGCCTCAGGACACACGGGAGCATGGGGACCGCAGGCCCCAGTCTCAGCTCTGCTCCACAGGCTTCTGGCAGAGGGGCCTGGGGCTCTCCCGCCCACGGGAGAACTGGGGGCCGGGCACCCCTTGTCCTCTGGGCTCTGCCCTGTCCGGCGCCGGTCAGCAGGCTGCGGCCAGCACGTTCACGGAGACCCGCCAGTGGGCAGTGGCGCTGGCAGGGGAGGCGCCACACTGGGGCTGCTGGGTGTGGTGAGCAGACTTCCCTGCCCTTCGCTGCTCCGCCCGTCCCCAGGGCGCCTGGCCCAGCCTGGAAGAGGGTGTCCTGTTGGGGCTGTGCATGTCCTCACACGCCACGAACAGCGGCTGTGCTGTGGGCTGTCTCTCCATCCCGCTGGAGCTGCCCGCCCCGCCCGCCAGGCTCCGCAGCCGGTCCCTTGGCTGTGGCCTGCTGGTGTCACCGTCCCCACCCTGGGCCCCCACACTCTTGTGGGCCCCCGGCCCGAGAAGCAGCAGCTATGAGCCGGGAGTGGGGCCTCAGCAGGCAATGTGGGGCACCTGGCATTTGGGGTGATGGGCAGCAAGCCTGGCACCTGGCGCCCTCTGAGGCAGTGACCCTATGGGTGCAGGGCTGAGCCCAGCTAAGGCCACGAGGTAGCGACTGCCCCAAACGCTGGGCGCAGGGAGATGAGCTGTCTCCTCACCCGTGTGAGCACACACTGGCCGGGGGTCTCTGAGGCTGCAGCAGGTGGGGCTCAGGCCATGGCTCTGGGGTCCGGCCTCCTCAGGGCCCCAGGCCCAGTATAAGCAGCACATGTGCCCTCAGCGCCCGCCCACTGTGTGGGGCCCACTTCCCAGAAGCCTAGGGCGTGCGAGTGACAAGACAGGAGTGTGGCTGAGGGCAGACGGTCCGGGGACAAGCACACACTCCACACCACAGGCACATGCCTGTGCTCATCGCATGCTCACACGTGGGCACACAAACCACACACACTCACACACAGAAATCGCACAAGCACACCCATGTACCCATGCGTAATACACCTCACACAGTGCACACGCACACATACGCACACAGTCACACACACACACACACACACACACACACGCCCTCATGCACACACGCGCACATCACAGTCTGCCTGGGCTGCCCTGGGCCTCTTGGCTGCTCTCAGGCACGGGGACTCGGGGACTTGGGGAGCCACAGGGGCCTGGATCGGGGAGCGTGGTGCTCTGCCACCCGGGCCCCTGGGAGAAGTGGCAGAAGGTGCCCTGGAGCCAGGCAGCCCCATGCTGTCCTCCCCTCGGCACGGCAGTAGCTGTCCAGAGTGGGTGGGTGGCCAATGGCCTGGGTGGGCCAGGAGGGCCGGCACCTGTGGGGTGTCTGGATGTGATGCTGAGGCTCTGGGCCCCTTGGCCAGGGGCCTGGCCTCATCACCACCAAGCAAGGTGCCCCTCTCCTTTACTGGCCCAGCATCTCCCTCCTTGGTCCCTGCAGAATCGTGAGCCACAGCCTCACGCCGGCCACCTGAGCGGACGGAGGGACTGGGGCTCAGAGACCACAGCTACCCGCTTAGCCACACTGCCCGCCCGCTCCAGGCCCCGTGCTGCGAGGGCTGCTCCGGAGGCTCAGCGGCCTCCAGTCACCACGGCGGAGCCCAGGCCGTCTGCAGGTGTCACTTGTGAACCGCCTCTCCTCCGCGAGGCTGCCCCCTCCCCGGCCGTGGACTGGAGATGTGAACACGGGAGAGGGTCATCCCCTTGCTGCCCCCACATTCGGGGACACCATATATCAGGTCCCCGTCCGCTGCTCTTGGAAAGAAGCTGGTGCCGAGACATTTCTCGGTGCTTTCGGAAGCCCAGAGGCGCAGGTCCGGGTGCTCTGGGGCCTCTGGAGCGCTGGTGTTTGAATCTGTTCCATGTTCGCCCTGAACTGTAAATAATGTACAGATGCCCTCCGCCGCCCTCTGGGGGGTGCAGACCTGCCTTGGTGATCCGCCTGGTCACTGACGTGGCGTGAGGCAGAAGGGCGGGGCCCGAGCGGGAGCCTGTGTGGCTGTCCCGGGGCAGCCTCCGCCTGGACCCCACCCAGGACGAAGCAGAAACAAGCGAGGAGGGCTTCCTGCAGGGAGGGGGCGGTGCAATCAGGCCTGCGCTGCTTTCTCCCCGGGGCCCGGGCCCGTGGCTGTGGCCCTGGGGCGGGGTGGGCGGTAGGAGACAGGGTAAAGAGGGAAGGAGGCCCTGGGAGGGGAGGGCCCTCTTCATGGCCTTTGAAGCCGTTTGTTGGGCTGGGAGGGGTTGGGTGGTTTCGCTTGGGCACTTGCAAGGGCAACACGCTGACTAGGGCGTGAGGACAGGAGGGCGGCCCTGGCCTGGCCTCTGGGCAGCGAGCGCGGCTGGCTGGCTGCAGTCCAGCTCTGACTGGGTCTCAAAGTTGTTGCCTTAATGCACGTTGACCGGAGTCGCTGAGGTCGCCCCATGCCCAGGCGCTGATGCCGGACCCGTCCCTCCCCTCACCCTCGCCATGGTCCGCAGACCCGCTCCACGGAGGGCACAGAGCGGGCGTCTCACCGCCTCACGCCCGCTGGCCCGAGGGGCCACCTGCCTGGATTCGCTCCACCCACCGCGCCCATCGGCTGGGCCGCCCGCAGCCCCGCGGCTGCAGCTCCCCGCCTGCGCTGTTGCCTTGGCTGCTTGCACTTTGTTCATGCTCCAAAGAATACTTCCGGATGCCTTGGTGTGACGCCACGGGCTCGGGTGCGCCGCGCCCCAGGACGGCCTCTCTCCGTGCCGTGTCACCAGCCGCGCTGTCTCAGCCGCAGTCATTCTCCGAGGAGACGCGGGGGGCCAGGATCGCTAGGAGCAGCAGGATGGGATGCTCCGGTGAGAATGGGCCCGGCACGGGCTCCCCGGGGACCTTGGTGTGGAAGTTCTGGAAAGTTCTGTGGCCACAGGGATGAGCCCGGTGCCCAGTGGGCCTGCGCACTGAGTAAACCACAGTGATCCAACCTGCACGGTGCTAGCCTCTTTCCTCTCGCGGTCATCCCCGGGCTGCTGGTGCGGCCGGCTGTGCTCCCGTGGGAGAGTCTGGCTCTTCAGGGTCAGGGCACTGGGCTCTGTCGGTGCTCTCTGCCACCATCAAGGGCCACAGCGGTGGCCCACAGAGCAGGCTCCTGCCGGCGCCTTCTCCGCCACCCAGAGCATCAGCCGGTCCTTGGGCGTGGGCTCTGTGCCCTGTGTCCTCGGAGCCACCTCCCGATGCCCTTGGCACCTCCCCCGTCACTCCCCTCACTCCACTGGCTGACCTGCAGAGACCTGCCAGGCCCCAACGGGGTGAGGTGCTGGGGGCGGGGGTGACATCCTATCTCCCACCCGAGGGTCCCGGGCAGGGCCTGGCTGTAAGGGGCTTGTGCTGAGCAGCTATGCTGCCCGCCTTCTGGAATGTTCCTCCCACCAGACCCCGCTGACCTCTGGGGTCAGCTGAGCGGGCAGAGCAGGTCAGCAGGGCTCAGTGGCCCAGTGGACTCATGTCTAGCCCCGCACAGATGCCTGGCCCTACTGTGGGGTGGGGGCGAGGGAGGGCCTGGCGGCTCCAGATGACCAACCAGAGGTTTATCCTGCAAGCCTTGCCTTTTGGCAAATGGGGTTTCTGGGACGCGGCTGGCGGACACCTCTGGGTTCAGTGCCAATGATGGAGGACTGCCCTGTCCGCCAGGCACGCTCCATCGGACCAGCGGGTGTGCTGCCGGCCAGCGGGGCCGCTGCGCTCACCTCTGTCCACGGCGGCACTGGCGGCAGCCTCGGCGGCCAGGACGAGGGCTGCCGCCAGTCACCAGGAGGCGGAGCTGGGCCCGCACTGGGGGTGCGTGGCCGGCACCGCCCGCCCGGTTCTCTGCAGCTCGAGGGGCCGGAGAAAACCCGGACCCGTGAGCTCGGGTCTCTCGCTGCCCTCGTGCCGGGGCTGCAGTGGGAGGCAGGCACCCGGGGGAGAGCCGCCCGGTATCTCGCCTCGGGGGGTGACTCTGCTTCCCCAGGAACTGTCACAGCGTGAGGACGGGCTGTGAAGAACAGGAACTGTAAGATCCGCGGCTCCAACAGAAGGGACTCATTGTCCTTCACGGTGACCGTCCAGAGGGAGGTGTCCCGGACTAGTGTGGTGGCCCCTATGGTGCCAGAGGCCGGGTCTCTCCGTCCTGCTTCTCTGTTCTGCAGGGTTTCTTCCTCAGGATCACCACATGGGCCAGTGCGGCTGCTGGAGGCAGGCCATCACACCTGCATTCCAGCTAGCAGAGGGAGTGGGGGAGAAGCACCCCCACACACACACACAAGCACACACACACACGCACAACTAGCACACACATGAACACGCACACACACTAGCACACACACACACACTAGCACACACACACACTAGCACACACTCACACACACACACTAGCACACACACACACTAGAACACACACACACTAGCACACACACACTAGCACACACACGCACACACACTAGCACACACACTAGCACATACATGCACACACACTAGCACACACACACTAGCACACACACACTAGCACACACACACTAGCACACACACTAGCACACACATGCACACACACACTAGCACACACACACACTAGCACACACTCACACACACACACTAGCACACACTCACACACACACTAGCACACACACACACTAGCACACACTCACACACACACACTAGCACACACACACACTAGCACACGCACACACACTAGCACACACTCACACACACACACTAGCACACACACACACTAGAACACACACACACTAGCACACACACACTAGCACACACACGCACACACACTAGCACACACTAGCACACACTAGCACATACATGCACACACTAGCACACACTAGCACACACACTAGCACATACATGCACACACACAAGCACACACACACTAGCACACACACTAGCACACACACTAGCACACACATACACTAGCACACACATGCACACACACTAGCACACACACTAGCACCCACACACACTAGCACACTAGCACACACACTAGCACCCACACACACTAGCACACTAGCACACACACTAGCACCCACACACACTAACACACACTAGCACACACACACACTAGCATATACTAGCACATGCACACACACTAGCACACACATGCACACACACTAGCACACACTAGCACACGCACACACACACTCTAGCACACAGGAATACTAGCGCACACACACTAGCACACACACATGCACACACACACACTAGCACGCACACACACTAGCACGCACACACACTAGCACGCACACACACTAGCACACACACACTAGCACACACACAGGCACACACACGCACACACTAGCACACCTGGGGTGTCTGTGTATACCAGTGGACCCCAGTCACGTTCTGTGGGAACGGTTGGGAGATGGGTCTTTAACTGGGCGCCCATGCTTGACTAACGCAGTGGTTTTCTCTAAGGAAACGGGGGACAGGCTGCTGGGGACCAGCCCGGCAGAGGCTCTGCTCCCAGCAAGACTGACAGGCCCTGGGTGACACTGGCCACGGATGACAGGATAAGCAGAGCAGGGCAGGGTAGGTATTTGAGGGTCTGTAGTCCTGTGGTTCCCGCTGCTCCCCAACAATGCCCAGAGATTCCGCTGCCCTCGCCATGCCTGGCCCATGCAGCCACATGCCCACGTGGACCTGCACCTCATTCTCTGCTCTGTGCATGTAACCCCAATCCCATGAGGGGTACCGCCAATCACCCCACTATGCAGGGGAAGACACCGTGGCACAGAGAGCTCGGGTGCTCCCAGTTTGAGGTAAGAGGGGCAGATGTGGCCCCAGAGCCTTCCTGGGGATGTGGCTGGAGCACACACCGAGCTGGGCCCCGACTGCCCTCTGGGGTCCCCTGGACACAGCTGCTTGGTCTCTGGAACATCTGTGCATCCTCCCCCCTCCGCCCAGGACCAGAGGAGCCAGCACACCTGGGTCCCATGGGCACCTCGTCCGTACCCGGATGGCGCAGTGCGCTGCGGAGATGCAGAGCTGTGATGGCTGGGGCAGCAGGAGCTTGATGGCGGGCAGGTGGCATCCAGAACCGTGTCCCCAGCTGCGGGGTGGGGTGCGTGGACAGGGCAGGGGAATGAGGGCCCTGTGGCTCTGGGCTCAGATGAGGGGCCACTGCAGAGCTCTGGGGGCCCAGCTGTCCCTCCCACAGGTGCTGGCCGAGGGGCACAGATAGAGGGCCTGTTGCCCACCACAGGGGCTGCCTACCACTGAGGCCCCTCCCCCATTCTCTGGACAAGTTCCCCCGAGGGCAGGGAGGTGGTGATGGCGCTTGCCCGGGCTGGTGAGGCTCCCACACAGCACAGGCGCCCCCACAGACAC